TTATTTAAATTCCTAATTCTAAAGTAAATTATGGTGATTCTCAAATCAGAAAGAAAATACATTAAGAAGTAACATTATTTTGTGGTCTCCTGTGGGATGCTATAGGTATCTCATTAAGCCACACTGTTACTGGTGGGTTTCAGTGCTTTGGAGACAGAGAGACAGATGCAAATTCCAGCTGTGACCCTGTGAAGAGGCAGAGATGATGGCTTCATTCTAGCATGTAAACCATGCTGGATACACATTAGGAGCCAAAAACACATTCTGAGGGTGTAAGGAGCAGAATGAATGAAGTGAGCCCTCTAATCTTCCCCTCCTCAATGAAGAACAAAATGAGGATATCTATTTACCACTGGTTGTGAGAATTAAATGCATATACATAAATATATATATAAGAAGTTTAGTGCAGGAAAGAGGACTGCATGGTAACTGTTCATCTTCCTACAGAAAGACCATATCTCTAGTTCACAGAAACTGCTCCTTTATTTCCACTCCCCCATATTTTCCCAAAATATAAGTTCTGCTGACATTAAGCAAGTAAACTCCAGTTCTTGCTAATAACCTTTAAGTTTCTATACTTGGAAAACAAAAAGTATCTTATTTTTTTCATTGACTTTCTACTCACCTCTCTCTGGGTCAGCTTAGCAAATCTCTACTCAGAGGACTTCCTTTTTAAGGGGCTATAGACAAAATTTTCTCAATTTCCATTTTCTAAATAAGAGCAGAACTAGATGCTTAGTGCATTCTTTGCCTACTTTACCTTTAAGCTAAACTTATTTGAGGTGAACACCCCTACTGTTCTACCAGTTTATGACCTCAGTTCTACAGGCACTTAAATTACAAATATTCAGGATCAGTTAATTACAGGAAATGGCCCAATCTAATATTTGCTTGGATCTCTAGTTTTCAGTCTGTGAATACAAAGAATAATGTAGATCTTCAGTTTTCTGGGAAGGCACATTATGACTTTTTCTTTTTACTTAGTCTAATGACTCACATTCCAGATGGTTCTCTGCACAATTTTAGAATCATCATGATCATTTTTTAGGGAAAAAACCCCATAATATTACATGTACAGTATCACTTATGCATTTTTATTCCAGAGAACTGAGAAATTACAGCACTGAATGCAGAAAAATTTCTGATGACTATGATTAGGAGATAAAATCTTAGTTTTCTATTGTTGGAGTATGTTGCAATTTGCTTATTTACTGCAAAATTCCCTGTGGAGTTAATGAATTTACCTTTTCAAAGTATACTTAATGATATGGAAAAATAGTCTCAAAACAATGAACGTAAAAGTGCAAGAGGCAAATCAATATGGATAGTGTAATACCAAATTTGTCTTTCAAAAAGGTCACTATGAATTTTTTAAAAAAAAACAGTAGAGAAATGTCCCATAGATGTTTATTTTATCATCTTGAGGGTGGGTTCAATTTTTGTTAAAATCCTCTCCTTTTCTCTATGAAATATGTCTTTTCCCACTTACAGGGACAATGACAGGCCAACCAAGAAACTTTAGTAAGTAATGTTTTAGCACTTATGAATCTTCAAAACCTAAGCCAAATATGTAATCAATGAATTATAATAGGATACTAATGACACAGCATTTCTTATGAGAAGTCTAGAAGGGGGCTATTAATAGATCCTTCTAGAAAGGTCAGAGATTCCTCCTATAAACTCTGTGAGCCTTTGAGAGAACACCCCGGTCACAGCAATCAATTTGCACTGGACCAGCTCAGAGCCTGACGTGGGAATAGCTCAACTAGGGGCCCTGCCCCAGAGCCCATGAACTTGCAAACATCCAGCTTTCCAATGCAGCTCCACATTTGGAGCTGGGGCCCCAAGTACCTGGCCTGCTTACTGGAACAGGTGAACAAGTATCAGCCACCAGGAAACCTGAGAGTGGCTTTGTCCTATCCTAGCTGCAGTTCTTTGTTCTCCACCTACTTTCCACTGTTACTGATAACATGTTATGCTGATTTCTTTTTCTATATAAACATTATCTGAGTATTTTCTGAGTATTTTTCCTGTGCAGGGTGGCAGAAAGAATGTCAAAAAAGAGTGCTCTATGGCAGGGATGCTCATGGTACTTAGGAGAAAGTAAATTTTCTTCTATGGGAAAGAGACTCATGCCTCTTCCCAATTTGCATCTTTTTCTCAGGGTCAAGTATCCATATTTTTTTAATGACTTGAAAGAACACACAACAGTTCAGACCCAGTGGTTAACTTAAATCCTTTCCTTCATTTCTGATAGAGTTTACTTCAAGTATAGAGTCTCATCTGGACAGACTCAAATACAGAGCCGAACTGTTGTCCACCTAGGTGGGAGGAGCTAGCACTCAGAATAGAACATTCCTCCAAATGGAAAACAGCTCAGAAGGTTAATACAAATGAGAAATTTCAGTTGCTTTTGTATATAGCATAACACAAAATAACCATCTCACAAATCACATTCTCTTGTATTTACTTAGCAAAATATTTATAAAGTGTCTTTGCCTTGTCATGCTTAACTAAGCCTCTTGGTATTTATTTTTTCTGTAGGACTCTCTTTGTCCTTGCATAAATCTGATGGAATGACCAAGCACTGACTTTCAGAAAGTGAATTCTCTCTCATTCTGCCTGTCTATGACTCTGTCTCTTTCTAAATGTAGAATCAAATTCTGTGCCAATGGACTACTAAGGTATCACAGAAGGCTACTATAGGTTATGGATAATAAATTATGCAATCTGATCTCCCCTATTATCTGCTTCCTTTCATTGAAAAAACATGCACATTTGAAAACTGATTTACAGGGCTTCCCCAGTGGTGCAGCGGGTTGAGCGCAGTGCTGTGAAGCTTTCCGCAGCCTCTGCAGTGCGGGTTCAATTCCCAGCCGGCCAGGGAGATACCCACATGGCGTGACAGACTTCCCCTGCTTCACCCATTTCTCCCCGCAGCAGTGCTTTTGGTCCATCTGCCTGTTCTGCTTCCTGCTCTATCTTTGGTGAATCCTCTCACCTTCCCATGCCTCTGGCCTGTACCCTAGTTCTTGTATAAATAAATATAAAATCTTAAAAAAAAACCTTGATTTACAATGAAAGGAATCAAAATTTTCCTTTTAAAAGGTATGTATGAGTAGAAAATGGAAAGCTCAACACAGAGTGGGGATCTCATAAGTTGTTTGCTGGAGATAAGTAAGAAGAGGGCATTCTGTAGCTCTCCAAGTTGTCTGACCCTGGGAAAAAGATGCAAAATTGTGTTACAAAGTCATGGCAATCGAGGGGACACATTAGTCTTTAGAAAAACTCACCCACTTAGAAGATAATCTTAATATTGTGGGGAACATCATCTAAATGTGACAGAATATGTCCCAAAAAACTTGCTCTATGGCAAGGATACCCATAGGTACTTAGGAGAAAGTGTGTTGTATCTTGGTGTGCACACAGATCATTCTCCAGGGCTTTAGTGCTCATGATTTGTCAGGAGGATCAAAGAGCTTAGGAAACAGTGAGGGGTGAATAGTCCTCTGTGTTCTGGCCTTACTAGCAACAGCCTTGACCAGGAGGGGCTGTCCTGCCACACAGGACTCCTGCTGATGTGTCAATTCCATGGATGTGGAGTAGTAAATGTTGAGTCTGGGAATTGAAAAATATGCTTTGAGCTCATGATACATACTTTAGAGCTGCTTTTTCTTCTTGGTGAAGACCCAACTTCATAGTGACTGTTGTGGGGTAATGTGTGTCCCCATAAAGATATGTTGAAATCTTAATCCCTGGTACCTGTGAAAGTGATCTTATCTGGAAATAAGGTCTTTGCAGAAGTACTCAATTTAGGATGAGGGCCACTGGATGAGAGTGGCCCCTCAGTCCAATGACTGGTATCCTCATAAGGGGAGAGAAATGTGGGGACAGACACACCATGTGACAATGGAGACTGGAGAGACACTGCCACATACCCAGGAATGCCACCCACTGCTGACAGGAAGAGCCTTCCCTGGCCTCCCTGGAGCTAGCCTGGCCCTGCTCACATCCTGACTTTGGATCTGGAGCCTTCACACTGTGAGACAATAGATTTATTTTAAGTCACCCCGTTTCTTGTACATTCTTTTGCCAACCTTAGGAAACTAATACAGAGACTAAAATATATCCTCTGGGCTTCTTTTCTTTTGCAATTCAAAGATTGAAACAATTTGTCCTGAAGGGGTAAGAGAACTAAGTAAATTTGTTGTTTTTTCTGAGGTAGATTTGGGTAGATTCTTCCATGATAAGTTAGAGGAACCACAGAGGGTGGAGTAAAATCTAGATACTATTTGGAGAAGTTGATTTCAGAAACAAAGAGCACCAAGAAGTCTGGGATTCAGCAGGTGAAGCAGCATCGGGCAGTGACCACCAAAACTGGGCCTCGCTGTCCACCCCGACAGCCCAGTCCAGCCAGGTGGAGAGCCAGGGAACTCCAATGTGGGAAGCCTGGAGGACTTAGAAGTCAGGCTGTCAGGTGTGCCCGGTGGTTAGAACCTTCCCCGTGTCCATGAGCAAGAGGGAAGGCCACACTAGGTAGAGACCAGATGGGAATGGCAGGCGCTGAGAAGCAGCAAGAGGGAAGGAATTTTAGGACAAGGATGTGACTCACTGAAAGTTTCCTTGCACTCTTCTTATGACCCCCCAGCAACATAATCTATTATGAAATAAGGCAGAGTGAAGAATCGAAAACTTCAGTCTGTGAGAAAAAAAATTGCATTGTCTTGATATCCCTGCTTTCTCCTCACCTCGCTGCGATTTCCCCAGGGCCTCCTTTAAATCAGCTTAAGTCAAGGGACTCTAGGCAGAACCTCAAGACAGAAATTCTGCTGGGAATAGAGTCGAACTGAGTGTCAAGGAGAGGTCAGAGTATGTTCTCACTCGTGGTGCCCATGATTTTATTTCCTTAGCTCACTGGGAGATCTTTTGGCCAAGTCAGCCCCAAGTCCAGGTGGCCACACTTCCCCGTCCCCCGCCCCCCCACCCCGAGTACAGCATACCTTCTGAAGAAATGCACCCAGATCAGAATGGTATATGAGTCTGTCCTATTCTGGCTCTAGAAAAGAAATGTTACAATAAATAGGTGGGTGGGATCTGCCCCACAATTGCAAAGCAACCAAAATAGCAGTGAAATCAAATGGAGGAAAACTTAAGTTTATTATTCTATACTTTTTCTTTCCAAAATTTGATTCCTGCTCAGAAACATACAAAAACTGTGAAAAGGGATCTGCAAATACATGTCATTACCTTAGTTACATCCTGCCATTCGTCACTATAAAGTATACAGAGAAGGGTAACTCACCAGGTATTCTACACAGGACTGTGGGTAAAGCCAGCAGTATGACTTTGGAAGTCTTAATTTGTTTTGCTCATTCATTATCTCTTCCCTTGTCTCTTATTTAATACAAACTTTCTCTGTCAAAGCCTCCTTTCTGCCCCTGGGCATTTTACTAGTATGTGGGGACACAGTGTTAATTTGCTTGACTCATGCTGTTCCTGTCTCCACTTTGCTTTTCTAGCCCTTTCCAGAGCTGCACTTGGCAGGTGAGGAGAGGAGGGAGGCTTCAGGGGCCTGTGTGATTCCTGTGTGATCAAGTCAGTGCCCCCAGGAGTTGTCACCCCTCCCTCGCACTGGGTGGTCTGATATCTTCCCTCCACCCACAGCCAGTTCCTGAAGCAAGAATTCACCCCTCCTCAAAGACTCTTCCCTGGAATCTTCCTTGTCTGCAACTCAAATCTCAGTTGCCCAGACTCTTTACACTAATGGAAAATCAGCTTTCATGGACAGCTGTCTGCAACATAAAGTGGTGTAGTTAGGACCTTCTCTGAGGCTCTCAGATGTGCTAACAGAGGTTGAACATCCCCTTTCCTCACACAGGTAAATTGTAAAATATTTGAAGCAAATCATTTCTACCTTCTAAACATCAGACTGACTCTGTGGCAGGAATATCAGACCAGATAGGAAGTGAGGGTCTTGGGATGTGGGGGAGTTATTGGGGGAAAGTGGGAATTTGTCAGGGACCCTTCAATTCCTTCATGAGGCAGATGCTTAATCAACCCATTTCAAGGGATGGTCCTGCTTTTATCATGAGAAGCAATGCATGTTCCTGCAGATAAATCAATTTGCTATTAGCAATAAATAATGCTCTATTTTGATATCCTAGCAGATTTACTTCAAATGAACCATAGTAAGCTATTTTTTCTCCTTCTAAGCAAAATATCATTTGCAGTTATCTGCATATTTTGGTAGACAGCTTATTTCTTAAGTGGAGCTCTTCTGACAAGAAAAGACAAGTCGAACTATACTCATACATTTATACACAACCCTTCCAATTCTCCATTCTGTTTAAACTATTTCTAAATACTTTCTGATGAAAATTCTGCTAAAAGTGCATCTACTTCTATGCTAAACTTTAGTTACATTGTCATTCCTAGATTATAACATTAAAGCTCTGTGTATGTGTGTGTGTGTGTGTGTGTGTGTGTGTGTGTGTGTGTGTACTTTTATCCCTTCCTCTGCCCTCTGTGGTGGATCAAAATAATTTACCTACTGATAACTAAAATTCTGTGTATGTGCCTTGATGAAGTTCAGCTTGCTTTTAACAGTTGAACTTTCCAAATATCTTAAAAAAATGTTTAGAATTTAATTTTTAGTACAAACTTAAAGTTGTTCAGTTCCCAACAGCACAATTAAGAGTTTATTATAGCCAGCATGCTCATTGTGTGTCAAGTTCTCTTTCCAATTTTTTATATGAACTCAGGTTTTCTTCCCAACATACAAGATGGTGCCATTGACAGGTCTAAGTGATGGTGCCAGGCAGTCCGGCTCTGCTGTGACTGCGCTAAAAGTTCCTTTTTATTTAGAAATAGTGTTCTTAGCATGACTTTCGTGAGTGCTGAGTAAATGAAGAAGCAATCTCAGTAAACTCTGTGGTTGTGCCATATTCCCAAATCACAATCCTGCACCAGGTGCGGTAGTGCAAGTCTGAGTATAGGACTAAACTAAAGAAAGCATGCTTTGCAACTAAGTCAGTCACAGGAATGAAAGAAGTAGCAGATCAATGTTCTCATTTAAAAGTGAAGAATAAAAGGTCAGCTGTATGGTGATGAATGCAATGTGGTGAATACAATGCAGTATATACAGATGATGACTAAGGGAGCTATACACATAAAATGTACAGAGTGTGATAAACCAATGATACTTCAATTAAAAAAAAAAAAGTGAATGGTAGCAGAATATGCCCCCCAGAAAATATGACTCTAGGAGTTCTGGACATGCCATCCCAAAATATGTTATTTTGGGATATTGATTATTCTGAATCGTAGATACTTGAAAAATAGTCAATGTGGGGAGAAGATATCTCTGAGTTCCCCTTATATACCTGAAGACAGAGCCTCCAAAAGGAATTCAGTTGTCATAAGCATTGTGAGTTCCTGTGTATCCTGTAAATTCCATCAACCAGGGAGGTTAGACTCTCACACAGGAGACGTGACTAGTAGTTGACACCACCGACAGACAAACTTTGTCACAAACTAGCCTACCTCCTACCTATTCTTCTAAAGACTCATTTGTCTCTCCTAGACATCAACTAAGAGGCAAATATCCTCCCCCTTCTTCCCTATTAATAAAGTGGTTTTTAAGCCTGAATTCTAAGACACCTCAGGGAGTTACTCATTTTCCCTCAGTAGCTCTCACATACATGTGTTAACAAACTTCTGTTTGTTTTTCTTTTCTTTTCTTTTTTTAAGATTTATTTATTTATTTATACAAGAACCAGGGTACAGGCCAGATTCACAGGAGGGTGAGAGGATTCACCAAAGACAGAGCGGGGAACAGAACAGGCAGACTGACGAAATACCCTGCTGAGGGGAGCAGTGGGTGCGGCAGGAGAGGTCTGCACGCCTTGTGGGACCCTCGCCAGTGGCCGGGGATCGAACTGGCACTGCAGAGGCTGCAGACAGCTACAGCTTCACAGCACTATGCTCAACTGCCTGCGCCACCAGGGGAGGCCCTGTTTGTTTTTCTTTTGTTAATCTGTCTTTCCTTACCTTGGAGGAGGGGGAGTCTCAGCTAAGGACATGGAAGGTTGAGAGAAAATTACTTTTCTTCCCCTATAAGTCTTCCCTGGCCTGTGAGAGTCCCGTGACAATGAAGGTAAAAGAATTAATCTATTCATGAAAGAACTGGGTATTCTGGAGGTTGTGGAGATGCTGAGTAGATGTGAGGACTCAGGAGAAAGTAGGAAGGAAGATGAGATTTGAGCAATAGTTGAAAGCAATGACATTCAGTGATCACCACGTTAGTTCCTGGTTTTGTACCCTTATCAGTCTGAAAATGAGGTTTCAGACAAAACACCATTCATAAAAGGAGTCAAAACTACATTTGCTTGGGGCCTCCCTGGTGGTGCAAGGGGTTAAGACGCAACCTATGAAGCTGTCTGCAGCCTCTGCAGTGTAAGTTCGATTCCCAGCCAGCCAGGGAGCAACCCACTTGGCAATATGTTCCCTGTGTCACCTGCAGCCTGGGGCCACTTTGGCACAACTGACAACCCCAAGAGTCTCCAGAAACTGCTCAAGAGTCATTCATTCTTCTTTGTCACCTGCTGGCCCACAACCACTGCAGAGTGAAAGATGGGCCGTGGGTCTTGGGCTCGCTTTTAGCAGTGACGGGAGTCAGCAGCTGACAGTCCACACTGGGGTAAACTGAAAGTCTCCCAGCAGGAACGCCTGGCCCCTCTGACCTAACAGTACCATGCTCACTGCCATCACTTCTCCGTGGGCCCCCATTGATAACATTTTTACTCCAAGTTACATACGATTTAGGATAATAACAATGGCTGAGTTCTGGCTTGCTCTTAGCAACATCTATTAATCTGAGCTTGAGGAAAGAATAGTAACCAAGGCATCAAGATGGCCTGCAATTTCTCCTTTTTCAGTGATTATTGAAGCTCTCTCAAAGCACTGCTTCTTTCAATGTTTTTTTCAGGGCACGATAGAAGAAGTTGATTTTCCAATGATTGTTTCAACTTGGCATTTCTACTAAGAATTTCCACTGCTTTCAGGTCTCAGGTTTGGGGCTTAGAGAGGCCTGGTAGGAAGGGCAGCTGCTGTCCAGCCACAATTGATGGCTGGTTTCTGCTCCAGGACTGGAGGAGAAGGGGAGCTTGGAGGACAATGGGCATTGTTGGGAGCTGTTGTCTCCTCTTTCCTCAATCAGTGTTAAGAGTTGGTCTCTGCCATTAGAATCTTGTGCCTTCTCAGAATAGCTGTACTGCTGAGAGAGACTTGTGCTCACAATACAGGTAACTTCAAAAGAAATGAGATTTAAAGAAAAAGATTGGAAACCAGTTGTTACCACAACAGAATATTGAGTCTACTTAGCAATGAACAGGGAATATATCTCCATTTACTAAGATTTTCTTTTATTTCTTTCATTAGTTTTATAGCTTTTTGCATGGCAATTTTATATGTGCTTTGTGAGATGAATACCTAAGTATTTCGTTTATTTTTTTGGTGCTAGTATGAATGATATATATTTTAAAAAATTTAAGTTCTAATTATTCATTGCTGGTCTGTAAGAAAGCAACTGACTTTCAGGTATTAACCATGTGTCTGTAACATTGTCACCGTTGCTTATTTGTTCCAGAAATTTTTTTCTTAGTTCTTTAAGATTGTTCATATCAACAATCATATTTTCTATAAACAAATACAGTTTTATTTCTTCTTTTCAGAAAAAAAAAACAGAGAAAAAATTAGGGGTGGGAAGAAGAAATTCTATTTAAAAAAAAACCCTAAAAATGTGGTCTTCTCAAAAACAAGATGGTCTAAAGACCCCAGATGGCCTGGAGGCCTGATTTTGAAGTCAGAGGAGGGAATATGAGGGCTTGTGGTATCATCCCTGGCACAGGAGAGGTAGGGCGCTTGTGTGAGTGTTGGCATTTTACAGTGTGAGCAGGTTGATGTGGGAAAGGACATTCTGACAGGGAAAACAAAATTGCCACAAAATCAGGTTTTGTTTGCTCTCTAAATACCTAGTTCTCTTATTGAGCTCTGAGGTAAAATGAGAGAAAAAAAGACTTAATAATGCAACAAAGTTTCCTGTCAGTAAACACACCTCTCCCCTGTCCACACTGACTTTGGAAACACAGGTTGTGGACTCCAAGCATGAGACAAAAAGAGCATAATGGTTTACAGGCTCAAACTAGGTTGCTAGGTGCTTGAAAATCCCAATGAAATGGTTTTTCAGAATTATAGAATGCTACAGGATGAACGACATTGAGAAAGAACCTAGAATTAAGGAGGAATAGTCAGAGCACATTTGGGGGGTCCCTGTGTCTTCTTTTCTCCAACCTCTGCCTTTTGTCTGACTCAAGGCTGCTTGCCTGTGTACAGTGTTTGACAGCTCAGATTGTTTGCTGACCCTGGAAGAATACATTCTCCACATTTACAGTAATTTTTGTGTAAAAGATTGTGCTGTTAACCTCTAAGGGTCACTCAAATATTTTGGAAGAAATTGGCTGCTTTAAGTTCTTTCTAGAATGCCATGTTTTTCATTTCTGCGCAGGGTAGATGACAGGCTTGGCATTCCAACAGAAGTTTAGTTAATTGAACTAATCCCTGTCAGGAGAAGTGAAATGATGGGATTCAGTCCCAGCCTAGGGTTTTTCCTTCTTCCATAACAGAAAAAGCAAAACATGCTGTGTGGTTTTGCAACTGGGCAAGTTCAGAAATATTTTTAAGTTTTTTGCCTTGCCAAGTGTTTTATTTAAAAAAAAAATCCCTTTCTATTTCATGCCAAAAAAAATGTTACCCCTTACATATTTTTTCCCCATATCTGGCAACATGACCAGAATTTCTTCTTTTCTAAGAATAAATAAATTTTCTGGATTATAAAAATGCCACTTGTTTTTATCAGATTAAATATATCTTTATATAGAAAAAGAATTTGAAACATTCCATGAATGGCTCGAAGGAAGGAGCCTTAATCTTAATATGATTTTGTGCAATTAATTTTGATGAAATATTTGGTCTTCAAATTCTTTTTGTGATGCTCAAGGGAACATTCAAGCTAGTTTTATATAATACATTCAATTCTATTTTTTCTCTAATTGCCCTCATGCTATTCTCTTTTACTAGAAAGCATTACACAGAATTAATTTCTGTCTTTGACCAAAATAATACCTTGGACATGATACCAATGCCAGGTCACCCCTGGGTTCCATTCTCTATTTGCATATTTAGCTGGAGTTAGAAGGGTTCAAGTATAGGGTAGCAAGAACTCTAGAAGTGAAAAAGTATGAACTTGCAAATTAGCTGTCAAGTTTAATAGAAAGGGAATAATGTAGCCAGAGAGCTGACATATTTCCATCCCTGGTATGCTATTGATTTCTCTCTAAGTAAAACATAAATGCAGAGGAACTATGGAAAACTCGGCTTATTGGGTATTTTCTTTTTACTAGTTAAAAGTGGTTATTACATTAAAAAGTCAAGAAGTTGAATAAATAATATTAGATCCAAGAATACAGAACAAAAACAAAAACATGTTTGAAAAGCAAGGATAGCTCTCTACCTAAAATGAGATCAATATTCATAGAGAAATAGATGATACCACATTAGCTCTCATCAAACCACTAACAGCTGGGAAATGAACCACATGTAAAACTCAACACTGGGCAACTTCGAATACGGTCACTTCTTATTGATATTTAATGAATCGACGTGAGTAAATCTATTGTAAGCAAATTGACATTTTAAGTTGATGTGTAATATGGCAGTCCGTTACTTGGTTAAATTTTCAGATTTCAGCATGTTTATTTGTGTGTGTGTGTGTGTGTGTGTGTATGAGGGGTGTCAGGGCTACTGGACCTTCATAAATGAATTCCTCTAAACTTCCTGGTTTACAAATCTTTATCAATCATTTTAAAATCTTAAAGTGCAAGCTTATGACTTTAGGAGTCACCTGAAGATGAGGACATGCAAACATTTCAGAAAGAGCACATCACAAAATGATTCTGAAATGTCTCAAAGTTGATTCACAGGAAGCCAAGATTCTCTCAGAGATTAATGATATACTGAGAAACTGGAGGGAGTAGCAAATTATTTTGCCTGTCTTCAGCCCAGTGATATCCTGCCACGAATTGTACCAGATAAAATTTCTTTCCCTATTCCATTCTATCATCACATGACCCCTCCCCCCTTATAGCTGGAGAACTAGCTATTTACATTTTGCAAATATCAGATCTCAAAACACTTACATTTTGTTGAACCGAGTCTCCCATGGTAAAGGATAAAAACCAACAGAAAACCTGTTTGCAAGGAAGTGCAAATCAGCATCGTGATGCACCCCAGCCAGAAATAATACCCTTCATTTGCTGCAATTGGTTTAGTATCAGTGCTATAAAAAATAGATGATGGAAAACTGGTGCCCTCGGCAGAAACACAAGTCTGCTGTGTGTGGCTTCTACTGGACTTGAGCAGAGCAGAGAGTGGTCTTTTGTGTATATTGAACTTGGACTTGGCCAACTATGCTGACCAGCAGATGCACGTGCATGGAATTCTCACACTGTCAGCACTCAGCACTCCACACTGCAGACACAGACAGCACTGATGCCATTTACATAAAAGACAGAGAGCGAAACACTCATGTTGTTAGAAGTCAATTGGCCCAGAAACATCAGCCTATGGAATATCACTGTGCAGTGGACAGGTCAAATTATTTATGGTGCATGGATTTTCCTCCTTGCTTTTGCAAAAAGTTAATTTCCAACACAAAAATGATCTGTGACTTTGGCATCAGGAAAGCTGGAAGTCAGTGAAATAAAGGTTTGAAGGTCACCCAATCTGTGCTGCAGCATGACGTTGGGAGGCTAAAATGCAAAATAAGCATCTCAGCCCAGCTCTAGCTGCATGTACTTGTTCTTTGGCATAGAATTAAGAGTGTAAAAATGTGCAGGGAAAGTCCAACTAGAAAATGCAAGATTAGGACCTTGTGTAATTAGGGTAATGCATAACGTAACACAAAAACATTAAAGATGTTTAAGATGTGAAAGGGAGTTAGCAGAGGTAAGAAGGAAAAATACAGAAAATAACAAAGAAATGCATGAAAAAATACCTTTTGCTTCTCCACTCCTATCACTGTGTTACAACCTGCTGCCAGGTCTGGGACACACCTTGGCCTTACCTTTCATTATGTACCTGCTTTTGAAGTCTTCATTGGAAACTGCCCTAGACTCTTGTAAGTAAACTAAAAATACATTTTTGTTTTCAGTACTTGCGTTAGTTTTGGTCCATTAAGTTGTGCTAACCCACCACAAATCATACACTGGCCAGTTCACAAGCACAGACTTGCAGACTTGGCCTTTGAGGTGATGATTAAGGTGCTCATAGCTTCCCACTCCCCTGGGCCCTCCATCTGACCCTGGTCTGTCCTGGCTTGTCATAGCTCCTATATTTCAGAAGTGTTCATGTTCCATACAACCTCCAGTCCATCCAAGTCAGAGTCCTTTTCTGAAATAGGTGTTTTAGCTTTTCTGTATTCATTCTGATTTAACTTCCCCTCTGCTCATCTTGGCAAGGTAATGATTTCAATTTCTCATGGGCTAGCCTTGACACCAGGACTTTGGGTGTGGACTTCAAACAACCTTGAGAATCTTATCTTTCAAGCCTGGCATCTGGCACATTAGGGTTACTCCATGCACACAGCAAGGAATGAATAAAAACAAAATCAAAATAATCTCTGTGACCCATGTAGAGGAATACCTGTTCACAAGAGGAGCCCTATCTGTAGCGACAGTCTGCCAGGGTTTGCAGCTTTTTTTCACCATCTACTGGCCACTTTATCTTCCAACAATAGTGTCTTCTTCCTAGGTGGCACTTTATTTCTTTTTAAAAAAAAAAATTATTTATTTTTATACAAGAGCTGGGGTACAGGCCAGAGGAGCAGGAGGGTGAGAGGATTCACCAGAGACAGAGTGGGGAGCAGAACAGGCAGACGGATTGAAATACACTGCTGAGGGGAGCAGCGGGAGAGACAGGAAAGGTCTGCCACACCATGTGGGAATCTCCCTGGCTAGCTGGGAATTGAACCTGCGCTACAGAGGCTGTGGACAGTTTCATAGCGTTGTGCTCTACCCGCTGCACCAATGGGGAGGCCCAGAGGTGGTGCTTTCACTCACTCACCTTATTTATTTCTTCACCAAATATTTATTGAACACCTACTACTTCCCAGGAAACAGATCCAGAAAAGTCCAGAACAGATGAGAGAGTTCATGTCTTCATGGAATGTATATTCCAGGGCAGATTAATTCAACAATTGAATAAGATAATTCACCTAAACTGTCCACTTTATGCCTCTGACATAGTTGTGTTAATAATCAAGTTGTCAACTCTTATTATGATACTAGTAAAATTTTAGCTAATGTTTAACAGGATGAGGTAAAAACTGGAAATGAAGATATATTGCTATAGGAGAAAGGAGAAAAAAATATTGGGAGGGCCTTCCCTGTGGCGCAGGTAGCTGAGCGCTGCACTGTGAAAACTGTCTGCAGCCTCCGCAACGCAGGTTTGATCCTGGTAAGAATCCCACATGGAGAAGCAGACCTCTTCTGTCTCACCCGCTACTCCCCTCAGCAGTGTATTTCATCAGTCTGCCTGTTCTGTTCCCCGCTCTGTCTCTGGTGAATCCTCTCACCCTCCTGCACATCTGGCCTGTACCCTGGTTCTTGTATAAATAAATCAGGAAAGAGACCTATTTACTAAAATCATTCAAATCCTTGGCCTGTGTACTACACACCCATGGACATGTATTTGTTGACATCTGATCTCCTTCCACAGCCATGTCAACACCCTACTCAATGCAAAAGAGCCACCCAGCATGACAGGGGGCACTGAGCCCAAAGGGGCATGCTTGGTGCCAGCTCTGGTTTCCTGCAGGGGGGATCACATTACCCCCATCTATGAAAGCGCTTAGATGTGAACCTTAGATCAAGATTAATGAGTAAGATTGGAGCTTTGTACTATTACTCCTTATTAGAGTAACAGGCTGTCCTTTTAAAGTTACAATAATTTTACAATAACTTCCATTTGCCATTTATTATCTTGCATCTTATTGGGGGCAGGTTAGTTTCATAACATGCTGCTAAGAGGAAAATTGTGATTGGTAAGTCAACTGAACTCACTAATTTTTTGACAGATCATGAAAACTTAGAGTGTATTTAGCTCACTCTGGCTTACACACCCACTTGGTCCCTGATGCTACCTGGTATCATAAAGGACAGAACAAATAATCCCTCAGTGGCAAGCCATCTCAATTCAGATGGCCAATCTTGCAATTGTTTATTGTTCTTCATTCCTGAGGTTGAAGACCCAGAACTTTAAAAACAAAATAGCAACAGACAACAAACAGTCCTCTTTTTGGTTCATTTTAGTTTTAAGCATATAATTACACCTCACTCTTATCTCTCCTAAATCCCCTCCCTCCCATGCCCACAACTTGAAGATACCAGCTCCCAGGGCTGAAGGGGCCATGAGGGAAGCCGGCCTTAGTGACAGCGGCCCTGCCCATCTCCCCAGCCTGCCTCTCACCACCATCTAGGTCTTTCGAAAAGCAGGGCAACCCCAGCTGTCACTCCCCTCTCTTGGGTCATATTTTTGGTCTCTCTGTGGATCAGCAAACCCTGGGACAGATCTCTACATGGCAGGCTCAGGAGAAGGCAGCAGAGGGAGACATCATCGAAGGAATAACAAAATGACAGAAGCCCCATTGGAGAAAACAGCAAGTGACTCTGTCATCTCCATTGCTTTTAGGTAAGAGTTTCAGGAGAGAATATTTTCTCTACATTTAAGTGGCTTGAAAAATAGAAGGATGGTTCCCGAGTAACATGAGTCAAACATTTTTTTAAGTTGTTCTGAAAACTCCTCCACTGACATCACCATAAGGTCATTTTTAGGCTTATTTTTCGGGAGCACAATCGGTTTCTGTGGATCTCCATAGCCTCTATGATGAGAGCTCTTTATGTGGAAGAGGGGCTGCAGTTATGGCCTGGGACAAACTAGCAAGCTATGGCAGGCTGAGTTCATCCTAGGGTTGATGTACAGTTAGGAGTGCCCACACCAATATTCCCGGGTGGGGTTAGGCCCCGTAAGAAAACAAGATGTTGTGAGCAGACTTTCTTTTCCCATCAAGCAGACTGTCCCCTAAACTAGTTGCAGACTGTAGACTTTGGGCCATAATCTAGGGAGGCAATTTTCTGTGATGTAATCATTTGAATTCAGTGGCAAATGTTTGAATATGAGCTCAGACAAGCTTTCCGTGATCTGATTAGAAAGGTCCTGAGGATACTGGTTCACGAGCAGTGTGCTCGGGGTGCCTGGCTGGTCCTGGTAAGCACCCCCAGCACAGAGGGCACTGTCCTCTATCAGGGACAGTCGGAAGTTCCAGAACTGCACCATGGCTCATCCCCACCTTGACCCCTGGCAGGTGAGCAGACTCATAGGTGATCAGGTCCATGGCATCCTCTTGCTCTCTCTCAGCACATCTGGCTCCAAGCTTGAAGAGATGAAAGATGTGGCCTTTGCATCTTGGGGAATGGAAGCCTTGTATTTTCCCCTGGCTTAGTAAAAGCTGGTAACTGAGCTTGTTTTTGAGGCACATTTATGAGTTCTAGGGGAGCCCACTCTGAGGTAGAGAGGCCAGCTATCAGGGACACCTGGGGACCAGGGAATTAGCACTGAACCGTGTAACACCAGACATGTGGCTATAGCCCCGCTAGCGAGGGCCAGGCGCTGTGGAAGTGAGTTGCGGCTCACGGCCTCCAAAGGCACAGAGGGAGGGAGGTTGTTGGAAAGGACTGGCCCCTTTTCAGGATCCCACCCATCGAAGGAAACTATGGGAGTAGGCTTCGGTTTTTAAGGAAACCCTTTTTAATTGTGCCTGCTTTGCTTTATGCAATTTGTTCTTGAAAAGATTACCTCAGTTTACTGTCCATCAATCTTATTCTCCTGTGTTTGTATCTGTTTCTGGGATTTGAAATAAGGCTAGATGGAGTGCCAAGTTCTGAAATTAATGACAACACAAATCCTACTGCATGTTACAGCAAAAGCAACCTCCCTAGCTAATCTAGGCTGTCAATTTTTAGGAGCGAAATATTGATGGTGAGAGATTTACTATGGATTTTGTATCTGCAGCGTTGACATTAATCACATCTTAGGCATAAAGCTGGCTTGTTAACCACCTTAAAATAATTTCCCCATCCTATTAGATTTTGTTAGTGCAATTATTCATCAGTTTTTTTTGTAATCCAAAAATGTACTAAAAAATGATAGCTAAACCTGACTTATTATTAGAGCTTGTTTATGTTTTAACGTTGGCAGCTATAGGTAATCCCTGGGCTGTTTCTGGAGCCTTATTTATTGATGAGCTCCTGTGCCTTACTGCAAGGAGAGGCATCTTTCTACCTGAAAAAGTGAGGGAGCGGCTCC